GCCTTCTCTCTATCTCTGACCACGTGCCTTCTCAACTCGCTTCTCATATAGAACTGCGGGTTATTGCGGAGTATTGTCATGTATTGCATGTGTTATACTGAGTGTTATACACAATACTGCAAATTTCCATGGGATACCTACTCTGCAGAGTAGAAACTGACTGGTATTGCTGCATTTAGGATTGCAGAAGTGAGACATGTCATTGAGTATTTCACCCTTCGTGATATAAACCATAGATATCACAATAATTTGCAGAACTCAACAATACAATGCGCGGTACCATAATCAATATACGTTCATAATATATTAGGGTACTGCACAAATCTTCGTGTCATCTGATAAAATGATTTCAAATAAGTATTGAAATTGAAGTTTGGTGTAAGTACACAATTAGATCATTGATATGAAAAAGGAACAGCGATGGTGCCAAAATGGATCCTTGTGGAACGCCAGAATTGATTGCAATGGTATCAGATGATACTTGGTATACCACCACGTGAAGCGTGGTAAGCCGTATAATGGTAGTTTGTGAAGAAGTCCTTGGTGCCAAACACGGTCGAATGCTTTCGATATGTCTAACGCCAGAGCTAAAGATTCCCCATGTTTTTCTAATGAAGCTTGCCATACATAATGTGACGTAGGCAAGTAGCATTGATGATTCCTGAGCTTTCCAGATATTTGATAAGCACAATGTTGATGGCTTTCTGCATCACTGTGGAGATAACTGATAACAGGGAAATAGGCCTGTAGTTGTTGGGTAGGTTTTTGTTCTCTTTTTTGGGGATTGGTTGGAATCTAGCTATCATCCAGCAAGATGAGAAAATGACCGACTTGTACGAGATGGTGAATAACTTGCAAAGGATCGGTGTTAATTCTGGTGCACATTTTTCGAGGATATAATTGGTGGAATTCAGGACCGTCAGCCTTATTCGTATTGAGATTGACGGAAGTCGATTTTGGGTATTCGACTTTCAATGGGTGAAATCTGGCGGCACTCTTCCTTGGGAGTCTAAAGTAAAGTTTGCTGCGAACATCTCTGCAAAAATGTTTGCTCTCTCTTGCGATGTTGTTGCTAATATGCCGTCGGCTCTGGAGAGAGGTAGACAAAAATTATTAGTGAATTTCCTCCTGACAGCTTTAGTGAGGGACCAAAACGAACGGAAAATATTGAGACAATCTATGAGTTTCGATTTGATTTTGGCATTGTTATGATTCTTTTGATCCATCTTTTGTTAGGCTGCAGTTATTCCTGGCTTCAACGTATTCTGCTCTAGTCGCGAGGTTAGGGTTTTTGCGCCAGCAACTGGAGGCTGTTTGTTTCAATGCAATAGCTCTAGAATAGTTTTCGTTGAACCAGGGTTTCGAAGGATCCTCAGAATCAAAGCATATTATAAGCCAAAAAAACTCGTAGAAGAACATGCGGAGACCGTTCCGTCTTCCCCTTGATCACTCAGAAATATAGAATTAGGTATATCTGATTCACAAGCGTATACGGAGTAATCAATGTTTAGTTCGACTCGTCAAAGAAATCCTGGGACGAAAGGGAGAGGAGGAAGGCGTTCAGTCCTCGTGGGCTTAGAGTATTTATTTATTCATTTCAAATTGACAGTTTGTTGATGATCGCAACATTAATATAGTGCTCTGGGCTCACCTAATTTCCTGCAGTCATCTTTCCAGACTGTAAGGGTGCAAAATGAATTTGCGTCTATAAAGGAAGTGCCTGCAAAGTTCCAGAGCAATCAGAGCGAATTGATGATTTTCATCCAAACTGATGAAAGCTGCAAGCCTGCAACTGCCACGTGCAGTCTTGCACGTGGCTTGAATAGGTGGAGGGCGCTTGACCAGTTTCAATATTTCAGGTCAAAAAAAAAGAAATCGGGAATAGTGTCGATATGGCGCTTTACTTCGCAGGAATATTTTAATTGATATACTGACTTACGGTGCAGTACAACTATACAAATATAAAAGTAGATGGAAATACTTCGATAACTATACCTGGATAATCAATCAGAGATTGGGGTTATCTAAAAATATGGATTGGCGAATTTTTCATCATGAAAATCGTTTCCACTTCATCAGAAGGCACGTATGGGCTGAGGATAACCCACATTCTCATCATCCATTCAGATTCCAGCATTTGCAGTGATGGTTCTCGATTATTATCTATTATTGAGAAGAATGCTCGGAAGAATGTATTTTCAGGGAGGAGTTAACTTCATAGGCAGCGGATTTGTACTAGAAGTAACAGATATTTTGATTCTTAATATTTTCGAATTTCAAAATTCTTTAAACTTCATTTGGTGAGGACAAGCCACTGAATAATACTTGGCATTCTCATATCTATCAACTTATGACAAATACGTGAAATTGACGTCTCACCCTGCGGTAATCTGTAGGCGATGGGTATAGGTCAGTTCTACGTTAGTTCTACTTATAACTGATTTATCGTACTGTTGTAACAAAAATCTCAGCTGATGTCATTAGTTTTGTTTGTCGAGGTAGAACGAGAAAATGTTAATTTGAAATTATTTTTGCCACAACCTTTTATATAAATCTAGCTTGAAAAATATTTTGAAAGTCAGACCAGTCAACTACTAAGAATTTGTTGCGTTGCTTCATTAATTTCAAGCGTAGAAAGATTAATGGCGTTTGTGGCCAGTCGAAAAATGCTCTTAATTTTTATTTATTGGCGTGCTTGGACGTAGTTACATTTTAAGAGGCATATCATATCACTGTTTTTCAATGTATCAGATTCTGCTGATGATACAAAAGCAATTCTCGAGCTACATATGCATAGGTACTTCATCTCGTACTTCATTGACTGATATTACCTGGTCATATCCGGAGAACTGTATTGATGATTCACAAAACTCGAAACAAAATCGTGAAGTCGTGATACAGCCGCAAACTGTTTCAAATCTGACATCTCAGATGGAAGTCAATATGTTGAAATTGAAGCTACCAATAAAGATGGGTACAGTAGTCTCTAAACAATCCAAAACCTCATAACTCATAATTGAGCTTCCCCAAGGCAGTGTTCTAGCACCTATGTTTTTGTTCCTCTATATTGCTGATCTAATCATCTGCCAGGGCATATGATCACTCCCTACCCTGATGACTCCTCCTTCTTGATCTCACATGAATCCAACTGTCAGAATAAACAAGAATGCAATTCACTACTCGTGAAAATGTACACATGGTTCTTGGCAAACCAGCTATATCTAAATCTCAGTAAAACAAATTGTCTGATATTCTATACTAAAGAATGCACAGTTGACCCACTGACATTACATTTAAACAACTCTAATCTGGAACGACTATAGATACCATGGAATTTTTAGGAATCACACCACAGGAATCACTGGATTGGCTTGAACGTTGAAACTGCCTAATTAAAGTGATGAATTCCAGAATTTATCAACTCAGATGTCATAGATATGGATAGTCTCCAAATTTTTTGCTTTGCCGAAATACAATCATGTCTAATATATATGGCATTAGTCTGTGGGGTACCTCCCCAATCTTCAAAAATCTCTTCTTGACCCAGAACAAAATTATTCGAACCATCCTCAATAATCCAAGGTCTCACCCTTGCAAGCCACTGTTCATACAACTTACCATTCTACCACTAGCTTGTCTGTATACACTCGAGTTTACTTGTTATATATACCGCAATAGAAATAATCAAATTGCACACACTGACATACACTCCTATTCAACAAGAAAGGACAACCTACTTTATCCCCCCCCCCCCCAAAATCTTACAACTAACCTACACCGGCCCTACAAACATGGATATCAAAATTTTTAACAATTTGCCAGGAAGTGTCAGGGATTGCAACACTCAACCCAAATTCAGGAATAGCCTCAAAGCTCTTCTCACTGAAAATATGTTTTACTGATTTAGTGAGTTCTTTGACTATGTTTCATAAACGGTTTTTAACTTTTCTGATGTTATCTTATCCAAAATTTATTTCAAATATAATGCTGGCGAATTGTATATAAGTATTAATTCTTGTCAATCATAATAAACATATTCTATTCTATTATATTCGAGATTATATTCTAAATCTATGAAACGTGGAACTTTTCCATGTACCAATACGCTACACTATTCCATCTTAGATAAAATATAGACAATATCTTGTTTTTTTTTGCATATCATTGTAAATCGTTATCATTTTGTATCCTCGGCTCGACATCGAATTTGTATATATAGCTAGCTCTAATGGAACTAGGGTATAGGCTATTTATATACTTCTTATTATGCTTGCTGATTCAAATCTTGGGTTTTTTAGGATTCTACTGAGGATTTGTATTATTGTAATGGAGGAGAAAGAAAATAATCCATCTTGAGAACAGCCTGTATTGTTGAGATCCGATTTAAATTCTTTATAAAGCAAAGCTATACAACGTAAGTTTTACTTGGTTTCGGTCTCGGTTTCAGTGAGATCTTTCCTCAACTTCTATGATACTTGTATCAGATAAGAGTAATCGCTAACATCGATTCCGAGATCGATTCTGTCGGATTCTGTTTTCTTTTGGGTTCCTGTTTTTTTCTCTTCACTTTATGTGCTCCTCCGTTTGATTGTTTCAATTTATCGAATTTAATTTCGATTATGCTGATTTTCGTCCGATTACCTCTGATCATTTTACATCAGAATTATATTCCTATGGATGATACCTGAAGAAACACTAATTGTTTTGTTCACAATCTGAGAACTCTTTATCAGGAAATCTCGAAAGATTATTATTATCGATCCGCATTTCAACACAAGTGAGAAATGTATTACCTACTATGAAACTGAGATATGGATATATCTCTTATGTTCCATCTTTCCTATGGATTGCAAAACCAGTATTTTACGAAATTGACTCGGAAATTGCCCTCCCTATATAGCCAATTAAAACAACTGAAATACTTAGATACATGAGAATTAATGATATTGCGTGAGGTTTCATGCTTAGGTATACATTTCTTGTTCTGCTTATTATGTTTCATGTGGAACAAAGTATCTAATTTGTGTCATATTGTGAATTCTGATGGTGTGCCTTTGTTGGTGAACCTCAAAGTATGATTCAGGGCTCGTTTCAGGATTAGCTTTGTCTAACTTCGACATAATATTAATGAAAATCTACCTCAAGTTATAGGTTATATCAATTTTTGCATCAAGAAATTGAATGTGAATGTGAGTTGAAAAAAATTTTACATACTGGGTGTTCTTATTGTCGACCTTAATACAACTCTTAGATTGTCACCTATCGCAAGACCGACTGTTACTACTTGCCAAGCCTCATCAGTTTCACTATGCAGCTGACAATGAATTCACGAAGGGTACTCATGCTACAAACAATTCCCGCAAAGAGGTGAAGGACGATCTAGTCTTCAGAGCCATCTAGTGGCAAATTTGCAAAGGTTTATAATCAGATTGTTTATAACTATACCTTGCGAATAAGTCGAACGCACACGTGCGCGCTACCCAGAAAAAAATTTCACAAATCTGCATGATGTATCCCCAAGATCCGCGCCAAGAACTCATAACCTTCTGATGTAAAATTCAATACCTTCCCCCTTCTTCTATCCTCATACTGAACTTCATTATTATTTCATAACATTTTTTGTCTGTGTTTCTATTCGGTTATTAGTACAAAATTCCTATTGATTATTTGTTGTCTTTTTTAGGAAATGATTTGAAATAAAACCGTCAATAAATCACCCAGTATGCATCAACTTCAGATTGAAACTTTCGCCTGGTCACCAAGTTTTTAAAACAATTGACTTTGTTCAAATAGTGAAAACAAAAATCATCAACAACCTATTGAAAACCAATTGAAGAGTGGAAGTTCCATAATTTTCTGAATTTATTGCCGTAGAACGGTGTTGAACGATATCCTTCCTGACCTTACAAAGGCTATAAGTGCCATGAGTAATATTATGCTTGGTACAACAATAATTAGTTGGAGCCACCGGTAAACGACAACGGTTATTTGCCGTTAAAGAGGGCTAGTGCGATTTTTAATGCTATTATAAACCAAAAAAAAACACAAATATTGACTTTTTCATTACTTTTTTCTTGCATATATCGAAACTTCATTTTGGCAACTTAGCACCTTCCACTCTTCAATTTTCGCAGGACACAATACATGTGTATAAATATATATATAGTTTCACTCGTATTTTCATTGATTTTATGTCGATCCTCAGAGTCAGACAAGTTAATCTTCTATATCCTGTTAAACAGTTCTCTTGGACAGTGTCCGAAATAAACGCTGGATGAGCGCGAAAGATAATCCTTTTCGAGAGTGACCAGTGAAACGTCTCGCCACAGTTGAAAGAATTAAATACCTCGAATTCCATACCGGGATAGCTCCAAAGCTCTTCCAAACTGTTTCCCGCGGGCGAGAGGATACTGGCCGGAGACGGCAGCGAGGAGGTGGAGCTGCTCGGCTGCCAGGAGGCCATCTCCGACCCGAGGGCCGTCTCTGACCAGAGAGCCATCTTCGAACAGAGCGCCATCTCTGACCAAAGAGTCATCTTCGACCAGAGCGCCATCTCTGACCATAGAACCATCTACGACCAGCGAGCCATCTTTAATGAGAGGGCCATTTCTGACCAGAGAGCCGTTTTAGAGCAGAGTGCGGTCTTCGACCAGGATGACATCTCTGATCCGAGCGTTTTCTTGGAGGGCTCGGATAGAGTCGAATATATGGCGGTTCTGGCGGCGGTGCCAGCTCCCAAAGATGCAGCGCGCTTCGTGTCCATCGGGTCTGCCGAAAATGCAGGGTGAGTTTGATAACCGGGGTAACCGCGGTAATAGAGCCAACCAAGATTGGTTATTCTCGCCTGAGTATATAGTATATAGAGTATTTCGAAAAAATATTTGCAACCCTGAAATTGAAATTAAAATTCGTCAAGAACACAAATCTGAACCTCCAAAGGAAACAACTAGAACACGTCCAGAATGAATTAATGATAATAACAATGTCTTTATTCATCATAAGTTAACAGAAAATACACAACAATAAAACTAAATGAGATAGATTGATGAAAAAGCGGGGTTCAGCTATGAAGCTGCTTTTAAACCCAACCTAAATAATGAAAAATCTCATATTATTCATTTTGAAAATATAAATAAACCCTCAGACTATCCCAGGGCTCCAATTCCAGCCAGGCAAATTAGAAACGAACGAAGGAGAAATGTCGACAACATAAATATGGACTTGGCAACAATTCTCGAATGGGGATCCAATAACTTGGAAGATTTCAATGCAAACAAAACACAAGCATGCCTTTTCTCTAGAAAAGCCGATCTCACTGTGCCCAACATAAGCTTTTCAGGAGTAACCATACCTTCGAAGACATCCATTTCGATGATTGGGATTACTATCAGCAATAACCTTTCTTGGGAAAATCAAGTGAGATCAATTGCTAGAAGTGCATCCCACTTGGTTTTCTGTTTCGGGCCAGGAACTATTTCACTTTCAGTCAGCCCGAATATATCCTATAGAACATTCACGAAAGCTTCTTCTTATACTATTTTATGCACTCCATGATAGGTAAAACGTTGAAGAAAAAATTACGAAAAAAAAACGGCAGTTACTCTATTTCTAAAACATCATCGAAGGGACTGATTGTTGACATATCAACGACCTCAGTCACTATGGTGATCCAGATGGCAACTGAAAATCTTGGTGTGTTATATGGCAAGTAACCAAGTAAAACACAAATAAATAAATATTAGTCAAACACGACACACCGATTGAAAGACGTTGATCGCGATGGAACAAATCGGAAAGGCAGCTCAAGAAGCTGAAGGCCAATTATTACCAAGCAAATCTGGAGAACAATATAAAAAACAGTTGATTTCATCAAAAGGTGCAAAGAACAGAACGTAGAAAAATGTACTGCTTGCATATTTCTTGGAAAACTCAAAAAAGCTTAAAGCATCGTCATTGTGGAGCACATATTCTATAATAGAAGCCACAATTGCAACAGACATTTTGAAAATACATTTCTAAATTCAGCTTTTATTGCAAAGTAATTTACTTTGAATCCCTAGGGATTCAAAGTACCACTTTTTTCCGAAAATAGGGAATAAAGGTACCCTTTAAATCCCTGAAGTGCAAAAAAATTTTAAAACTGATGTTGCTACTTCCAAGGGGTTAAGATTATAGGCATGATGGTCTCCAAAAGCAGAAAAATGTAATTTTATCACATATCTAAAATCTACGTATTTTGTTGAATACAGTAGGAGTAGTATGTTCGGAGTTATGTCCCTATGTATAATGATTTACAAACGTTTTCGAAATTAAATCGTGAAAATCATCCATATCTCAAAGTGGTCCAATAAAATTTCAAAAGAAAAACAAAAGACTCAAAGTCAGTCGACCACACATTTATATAACACTATATCCTCAAATACATGTTACCGGTTTCGGCACAACGGCCATCATCAGACAAAAAGTACCGACAAAATTATGGGCACACTAATGTTATAGTGTGCCCATAATTTTGTCGGTACTTTTTGTCTGATGATGGCCGTTGTGCCGAAACCGGTAACATGTATTTGAGGATATAGTGTTATATAAATGTGTGGTCGACTGACTTTGAGTCTTTTGTTTTGCTTTTGGAGTTTTCGAAATTATTGTACTTTTGTGGAAAATATGGCATTAGTATCGTTTAAATTGCGCTTATCTTCACAATTTCCCAAATTTAATCTTTCAATTTCCACCAGAGAGCTAATATACATGATAATCTTTGAAATGAGATTAAGAATTTCACCAAAGCTTGCACAGTGTAATCAGAAATATCGAAATATCTCAATATTTGTAGGTTTCTGGTTGCCCCGTAAGGTATTTCATTTTTCAAATCAAATACCCTGTTTATTATCAACTAACTGAACGCTTGCTTGAATTCTACTTCAACTAATAAAAATATTCCTCGGATAGGTTTCCCATGCAAAGGACGATAAAGATGAAAAACAGAAAGAAATGAAAGAATACATTCTTTTTTTTTTCGGAAAAAAAACTATTCTCGAAGATATTCATCAGTTATGAAGTTTGCCTGTAACTTTTGTAAATCATTTTTGTCGAGAGTCTAACTCAGGTGGTATAACTTTCGACGAGAAGTATCGGAAGTATCTCTAATGCCTGTTCTATAATACATATATGCGAGCATAGATGGAAGATGGTATGGCAAGTGAACATTCTCAATTGCTTCAATTTTTTTGTAATTTTCGTCATAATGTCTAATTCACGGTTTTTTTCATGGCTCCAATTCCAAAAACACCCTGTATAGAAGTAAAACATAAATAATCTTCCACATCTTGCTCTTCTCACATTCAATTCAACTTCATTCGCTTTCGATTTCAATTCACTTTCTGGTTATGTGAGCCAGATATTATCTTGGCGTCTGTCCAACTCGTGCCTTTGTTAACAATCCCCTAGTCATCATAATCCGAATAATTATCATTGCCATCAGTAGGTGGTATCCTCGGTGGTATCAGACATGGTAAATTGCTATGCTGATGGTTTAAGTGCGACGTAAACACTACTTAATGTCAATATCCAGGGTGTTTGCGAGAGTTTATAACTGGATTTCACTTGAATGTTACGAAACATAAATTCCCTGGCAGCTGACGTGATGCATGAAAGGGTTTCCAACGAGATTAATGAATTTTCGAAGCACTTTCGTGTTAATCATCATTGTATTTCGTATTATTATGCCTTTGCACGTTTAAATTGTAACATTCACCACCCTTATCTTTTCATTTCATTATCTCATTTTTTTTATTCACGTTATCGAATAATAAAATGATTTGACGCACAGTGCCGGATTTAGGGGGAGGGGCTATGGGACTATCAGCCCCCGGCGGTGAATTTCAAGGGGCGGTAGAGAAATAGAGAAAAGAGAAAAAGCAAGCAGTTATACAGTCATCGCCGACGAGGCGACAAATATATTATATTGCTTCTTGCTTTTTATATGCCGCCACTTTATTAGCCTTTTGAAGCAAACACGCGCAATTAGCTACCGCTGGCAGTCGGCACCTCATCGGAAGGATTTGTTTGAGATACTGTTTTTGTGAAAATCATGCACAAATCTAGCGTCAGCTGTGTTTTGGATGCTACAATACCAAAGCTCAATAACAAACAAAAAATCAGAGTTCAGTATTCAATAGGTAGTTGGTATTGTTGGTAATGGTACTAATAATAAATAAATTTTGAAACTGAAATTTGAAAAAATGAGTGAAAAAGAAGGTGGTGCATTCTGGAAACGGCAGAAGACCAATAAAAAAAATAGTTAGACGAAGTTGTCAAGAATGAGACAGAACCAGAACCGACTGAACCGTCTCCGGGAACTTCACGATCTCAAGACGGTGATGGTAAGTTCTATATATTTTTACATTCGATACGCGAAAAAGAAGAGTTAGAATCTCAAAAATAGATGAGCGAAATATGAACACGACTGAGCGAAATATGAACACGACTGAGCGAAATATGAATACTACTAAGCGTTGTTTCAGGGATAATCACAACAAATTCCTTATTCATTGAATATTGACAATTACTGAGAATTTTTTCACTATCCCTGATGATTAGTAATGCCAGTTGCCAGTGGTGAAAGGTCATTCTCACCTTTGAAAAGAGTGAAAAACTACCTTAGGAACTCCATGGTAGAGGATAGATTGAATATCTCATCAATTTCAAGTATTAACAGTGACATGTTATTAAATCCGAATTTTAATGATGCCATTCACGACTTTGCATCAAAAAAATGAAGAAAAGTATTTTAGTATTCATCTGAAAAAAAAAAAAGTTGTTGTTTGTTGTTATGTTTAACGTGTGAAGTAAATATAATTTGATTCATTGTACATAATAATTTCATGTTATTGTTATATGCTGTAAAAAACAGTAAAAGGATTATTTGAATTTTGAAACTGACAATTGAAATTTAATATTTGTTGACGTATCTCTGGAGATTTGCGTTTGGCATACATGTTCAATGAAAGTTTTGTTGACCATATTTTACTTGGAATCTTCTGGCGCTATTTATTGGCTACAATTGGATGGTTCAGAAGAAAATAATCGCCTTTACAGGTACATAAAACGTTTATTTCAGTAGAGAAATGAATGAAGTCACACTTCATGTATTAAGCGGCTAGAGTCGATTTCCATTTGGTTTCTGAATACTTTCCTTAGTCGTTTCAGAAACTATCATTGATAGTTATATTCTTTCGTTCTGAACGTACTGACACATTTCACTTGAACTGAACTGAATCAGTTGACATACAATGAACGTCATTTGAAATAACGCATATTAACTGATTCAGTTCAGTTCAAGTGAAATATTTCAGTTAATTCAGATTGAAAGAATATCACTAATATGACACTGATAGATCACTGAAAATGAAATGAAATAGGTCGCGTGCACGATGACCGACCCTGGAGGCAAAATATTGAAACACAACCTCATTCTTCTGTGAATTATTGAAACACAACCTCACTTTTTTATTTGGTTATAGAGGAATCAAAAGGTTGAAATAGTTTTTCACAATATTTTGGCATACGAATCGTGTTTTTGCGTTATTCATTAATTCAAGCATGCCTTCGCATTGTGCTGTTGTACAATGCACAAAAAATGCAGCAAGAGACTAGGGAATATGATTTCGCAGATAAATAGTAATCTCACATAGTTAGCATTATGAAATGTTGTCATTCCTTATTAAAATTCAAATTTCAAAAATGAAAACTATGTGAGTGACTATAGTAGGTACTTACTTTTGAATCA